GAACCAACCACCTTCCAGGATATTTTCATAATTTACTTGTATTTATATAATTTAGCTATTTATTTATTGATTTCCTTGTAATACAGTCTGCGACTGGTGTCTGTTTTTTGTCCCAAACTCGGGTGGTGACATAGTAATGACACTCAGCGTAGCTGCTTCTGTTGTAGGTGGTTCCGTTACTATTGTTATGCCGGGTAAGTTTATTGTTGATAATAAACCTACACTGTTCTTGCATATAATATGGCAACATATCGTCTGTCCATGAACCACTTAACGTAGCGGAAGCTGCACTTAAACATATGAACACGGTATACCGATGTTACTGATTATAAAATTATTATTGCAAATGAACTGAACCCGTGCAGGACTACATTGACAACTCTTGACAGTAATATTGTATTTCATCTGATATTACGCTGTGTGTAATATGTTGACTGAAAACTATAAGGATGCATTTACAATCTACAATGTTGTGGCATGCCACTGGTATATTTTAAATAACAGCTACTGTTACTATTTACATAATAAAAGGTTCTTGTCAGCTAAACATTAGTCAGTATTGGGCAATGGTGTTTGTGATTGGATATATTTAGATGAACAAGCAGTATGTTTGATTTGTGTTCAAATTTTGTTTTTACTCCCGGGGGAATTTATACGTTTTGATCATTTATTCTAGATACATTCATTGAGAAGGTATGTTATATGTAACCACTATTTAAGTTCTTTAAGCACCGCTGGGGGTACATTTAACACGAGAGGCAGGGTGCTTTGATTCAGTTCTGATTTTGCCCAGTTCTATTTAAGTTGAACAGTTTCATATCTTGACGACTGCAACATTTTAACGAACATTCATTTTAACAATAGCAAATGCATTAACTAAGTTCACCTATTGCCCATTTGCATGATTGGATATCATTATCAGGGTTACTGACATTCCAATAAAATGACAAAATGGACAATGTTTGATACAATGAACTATCGCCAGCGTTATCGGTCTAGAAAAAAAATATTCATCTCAGAAAATTTAAATATGAGATGAAATGGCGTTCTCCTCGAGTAGGTTTTTGTAGAAACAATGCAGACTGAAAAGCAAACAAACCAAAAAGAGTTAAAACTAACGAAGGACTATGCAACATTAAAACTCGACACAGAGAACATGCTAGAAAAATACGCAGAATGCAAAGCTGTCAAATATTCTTGCTTCATATAGTAGGACGCAGAATGCAAAGCATTCCAATGAGTTTGTTTCAAATAGCATGACGCAGAATGCAAAGCTATCAAATAACATTGCTTCACATTCCATGACGCAGAATGCAAATCTGTCAAATGAGCTTGGTTCAAATGGCATGACACAGAATGCAAAGCTGTCAAATGAGGCTGCATCAAATGGCAGAATGCAGAACGCAGCTTTCAAATGATATTGTTTCAAATGGCACGCCAGAATGCAAAGCTGTTGATAGATCTTGTTTCAAATGCCATGACGCAGAATGCAAAGATGTTAAATTACAGTGCTTCAAATGGTATGACACAGAATGCAAAGCTATCAAACGAAGTTGCTTCAAATGACATGACGCAGAATGCAAAGCTGTCAAATGAGCTTGTTTCAAATGGCATGACTAAGAATTCAAAACTGTCAAATGATCTTGGTTCAAATGGCAGAATACAGAATGCAAAGCTGTCAAACGAAGTTGCATCAAATGGCAGGATGCAGAATGAAAAACTGTTAAATGAGCTTGTTTCAAATAG